CTCTTTGTTGTAATGTTGAGATATGTGTGGTTCCCACCGTAGTTTGAGTTACTTGTATATTAATATGAAACCGCATAGGTATCTTGGATTCTGTTAGGATATCGCGCGTGTCTTTATTGACAGAAGCGGAAATTGTCGTACCCAACAAGCAATCGGTGTCCGGCTGACTGACGAAAGCGGAATGTAATTTGATCATTCAAAGATTTGTGTACCACTGTTAGGAAGATTGCGTTCGGCGTTTCCTATTCTCACTGGATTATTTACTTGTTCTGGGCAATTCCCCTGGTGTCTGCATTCGTACGAGTACTGATCTTGTGAAATCAATTCGTAGTAATCCGAGCTGTTAAGCGTTTCATCCAATATGATCTTTTAGCTGCGACCAGATATTTGCTCAAATAAGATTGTTCACACTCACGCAAAACACCTTTTTCTTCAAGATATCAGAAATTAATTACACACGGATAAACACACCAAAGCTTTCACGAGGATCTTTGTAGGTTGAGCGAAAGCTGGACGAATTCCAGCACAGTACAAATCTTCCACTCCATTGATGTTCACTCTGTCCTCGCTTCAGCAGATACAATGTGTGCTTGAATTAGCCAGTTCAATTTATTATGTGTAATTGACATTACTTCCGATTTTGTTTCTTATTCTTTGAGGGGATCAATGTGGCTATCAGGAGTTACAGTTAGATCTGAACAGCTATGCGCTAGCCGGAACCCACTGATATCTCAGTACCACGGCCAACAAAGTGCAAACCCACATGTTTCATTTGCGGCGGTGGTGAGCGAAACCAAATGCGTGCATCTATCAATAATTATCTTCTGTGCTTACCCAGCGCAAAAAACGTTGTGGCTATTCATCTTTTTTTCTCGTTTCACTACAACTGGAACTCATTGAACGAACTCATTCAACGATGGACGAAAAACAAGAGGAAACATATCTGTCTGTGCGTGTCTCTCTGTGCCATTCAGTTTACGATCAAGCACCAGGCTGATCACGTTATCGATTCTTGTGTTATCGGGTGGATTTTACTATTTTATTCTTAGAACGTCGAGTAATTCAGAGAAAAACTAAAAGTCGACAAAGCACTATAGTTATTTCAAAATGTATTGACTGAATTAGGTAGGTGTCAGCTGTACGTTAGAGAAAATATCTGACACTAATTACACTCGGTGCCGATGATTAAAAATGTTTGTGTATCCTTCCTAATATGGTTTGATAACTAATCACGCGTCTGTTTTTCCAGCTTCAAGTATCAGAGTGGAACCTATGTTCCCAGGTCCAATTCACATCGAATCTGGCACAAATTCACGCCCAGTTGAGTGCAATTAAACGGTCGTCACCCCCTGTATGATGCCTCTCTAAAAAAATGGTCAATGAACTCCTAGGCAAATTACCAATATTTGTAACAGACTGTCTTTGTGCTCAAGCACTCATGTGTAAATGAGTAGCCCGGTATTCGTCATTTACTAAAACGAGTGTGATCAGATGAAATACACAAAACGCAAGAAAGAACACAACCCGGAAAATATNATTTAGTCGTCTGCTAAATGTTCACGCGTGCCTTACATGTGAATTGATGAAAAGGAAAGAACGTTCCTGATGATGGCAACACTTGGCTCTACAAAATCTGTTGGGGGTAAAATCCTGCATACAACGGTCTAGAAATGAGATCAGTTCGAGAAAAAACCTTATTACATTGCTTCATTCGTTCACCAAGTACATTTAAGGAAAGAAACTGTCCCGTCGAAACTCATACCGTACAGAATGGTTTGCCGAATAAGATGAATACGGTTAGTTGTTCAAAAATCTCGAACAATTATTATTGTGTGTGAAGGGCTGACAACGAACACTGAGCATTTATTTCATCGTTGTTCCGGCTCATCAGTAGTGCCTATCCTCTTTTGGCCTACAACGTCATATTTGAAGTGTGTCTAGGTTTAAAAGCGGGATAAGAAAATGATTCGATAAATCCATAAAGACTGTTGAAGCATTCCGCTTTGAATTGCATGAATACCAAATCATCCTTCTGGTTCATTCACTAGATTCTGCTCTAAGTGTTTTTTCCCCAGGGTTGTGATACACAATGCCTCCACATACTCCGAAATTTTGACCAATGGTTTTCATTAAAATGAAATCAGTTTGCCAGGCTTTCAGAGCACGTTCAAAAGTATTTTTGTTGGGATGGCTTTATGCTATGACACAAAGTAGCTTGTCTTCATTTTCGATAAAATTCACCTAATCCAGTTTGAAGTAAGCCAGTCATACTATTGTGCAGATCTACCTCGATCAACAAAGCATTTTTACTGATGTCAGTATTCCATAGTTTGAAGCATCGCTTGGTTATTTACCTACACCGCGCTCATAAGTGCTATCCAGCAAATGCTATAGATGAAGCATAATGTGTCTGTCAATGGCTCCGCAGCCGTAACTACCGACTTCATAGAATACTACGTTTGTCGACTAAATAGTCTTTCCCATTTTTTTTTCTCCGATGGTTACTGGAATGGTAAGCTTCAAACCAATTTGCCCTCGTAACCAAGGTCGTGAGTAATCAAATTGCCTTCGTTCCAGTAATATTGAATGCGTAAAGATAGAGACTAAATTCAAATTCATACATATTTTGAATGTACCTAAACAATATGAAAGGCGGCAGGTCAAAAAACCCAATTCCGTAGACAAAATGTTTCATTGGGTTTGAAATATATATATATATATAAATATATACATATATATGTATATATATACATGTATACAGGTGTTGACTACACTCGTGCAACATCACCCTCATTTGGGAAATCCATTTCATTAATTACTTAATGAAAAAATTCTATCTTAAATACACTGATAAATTATTTGGCTACAAGCTACTCACGCATTATCTACAATATTGGAAGAGCTGAAAACATAGTCCAAGAAAGACACAAGTAGATCTTCGAAAATTGACCTTGAGATGTGCGGCTTGTTGAATAAGTGTTGAATAAGTGAATAAGTGTCACCATGCTGATACCGGATGCAATTTTCAATTGAAGTCGAGAGGCAAGTTAAACGAGAGGCGCGTAAATCCGTTGGCTCAGTTAGTGTCTTGTGAAAGCGCTTTTATGTGAACAGAAGTCCAATTTGTTGCATATTCAACGAAATTTCTCCATCAACACAAAAACCGAGAGGGAGAAAACCGGCCATAGCAAAGTAAGATGATGGTTGTATTTGATCGCAGCAGAGAACAGTTGCACACAACCCATCAGGAGGATAGTCTGGGCTGATTAGCCATTTTTCCCCACGCTTTGGTTTGAAAAATGCTGGCTCAATTTAAAACGCAGCTGAGGCCACGTGATATAAAGCCATCATTGAACGCCCAACAAAGCATATTATTGATTTTATCGACACATTCAAATCGCGTCTCACTGGTGGTCGACGCGTAGTTCGGCATATTGTGAAAGCTGATCTAATAAGCTAGGTTTCCAATAAATTTCGTTTTACCTGTCGAAAGAAGTAAATATCTACACCTTCTAAAGAGTTGGAAGACATGTGATTATTGAGCGCATTGTTGTTGGTCTCCTGCATACACCGATATGGAAATAGCAAAATTTCTTGCCATTATAATGGAGGATTTTGATAACTGTCACCCCGAAATGCATTGGTGGAAGTCATATTTGTCACACATTAAGGTTGGTATATCAGCTTGCTTAATCTTAGTGGTAGAAAATGGTTGAACCCTAATAAATATTATTTTTTCACATTTATGCAGTTTCTAGAGGGGCCACGTTCAATGTCAGATTCGTTCTATTAACGCGCGGTTGCTGGGATTTCAATTTAATCGGAAACTTTCTCTCTCTATCAGAAACAGGGATAAGTTAGCTACGTTGCCATTGGTCACCAATGGTTAGGGTGTGCGGTGTGTTAGAGGAAACTTGCAAATTCTGTTTGGCAGTCAATGTGGTGGATTCCATGCTAAAGTGACTGCCTCCAGTGATCAAAAATGAAGAGCAAATGGAACACAGACGAGGTGAAACTAAAGTACTTGCCCAAAGTATGAGTCATTTTAATTTAAAAAATCACAGTTTCATTTTCTACTGTGACTTTGTTATCTTACAACTGATGCACCAGCAACCCTCGTCCAAATCGCGAAATTGTACATTTTAATGGTATGTGGCTAATAGAACCAGTGACATAAAAGGTCATTATGTCAGCTATGTTGTGTCTGATGTGGGACAATATCATATTCAATCCCGTGAATGAGGCTGGAAAAAAGAAGCCTAAAGAGGAACAAATGTGATGAAAATCAGGATGTTGCACGAGTTTGGTCAATACCTGTATATATAAATAAATACGGAGCAGTTTTCTAATGATATCAAAGGATGAAAATTATCCTTATTTTTTAAAGCACGCATAACATAGGATGTAAAAGAACAATTCGTGTTTGGAACAAAACATGACATTTTCTATTTCTTTGTAGGCACGCATAAATAGATCTTTTAGCCCTGAAGGAGAAACCGGACAAGGACGGTCATGTTCGTGACTGTGTTCGTACGATGGTAATCTCTCGGATTACCGTTACGCACATGATAACTATTTGATCCACAAGAAGGGGAAAATTAACATGTGTTTGTGTGGCCCGAGAGAATAATACTGATTTATGTCATGATATTTTGCGTACACTATTCAGATGAACATGTACGCGTTAGGTTCCATCTAAAATGGCTGTTTTCCGATTATCTCCTACTGATAGGAAAGGCAGTCCGTTCCAGTGGCATGTTGCACATGCAACTAATGTCCCCCGCCACCCGCCACCCGCCACCCGCTCGCACTTTCACAGTCTGTACTCGATGGGCTTGCGTGACTGATGAAGATCAACAAACTGAGCGAAAAACCAAGTCAGGGGGACTCTTTTCCATGCCTGGTAGAAAAATTGACTCACTGCAGAACAAAAGTGCATGTTTGTGATAATTTGTGCGTGGGACTAATGAATTGTTGGAATCAGCTTAGAGCGAACTCACTTTCGAATCCGGTGACCAACTTCAGCGGCCGTAAAACTCGTAGGGCACGAACTGCGGGCTGATTTAGATTGGGCAGTATGTAGGCCAACAGGCTGAGAATTAGGGGTAGAAACACAGAGTGAAACAGGTCAACAACCGAACAGTTTCTTTCAATATCAGGGAAGAAAACAGAAGAATTTTGGAATGGTTATGAACTGATTTGCTTAGATCTGATTTTCTTTTGCCGTGTCGTCGGTTAAATGGAACAGATTCCTGAGTACTACTCAACAAAATGTCATGGAAGTAATGCATCGTGCCTAAATTTTTGAAATGCATCATTACAAATGCATAACTATGAATTATATTCTGGTTCGACTTGGAACTCTACGTTTTATAAATCAAACGCAGGATTAATGATGGGCAACTGGTGTAATCTTATAATAATATCACAGCTTCGTGGAGACTGCAATCCTCAGTATCATTGGTGACGTTTTTGTTATGATGTCGGTTGTTGATAAATGACTGAAATTATATACAAATCCCTCAAATAGTAACTGTAGGTAACCAAATGGAAGGCGAATGATATTGAGGAATTTACGTTTGAACTATCTATTGTTACTTTCATCTTTTAGATGATTGAAGACCACAGAGAGCCTTTGTATTGCTGTGGTCTCCCTCCTAAAAGTGTTTTGTACATTCATATACAGAGTAACAACAAGGAAGTAAAACCATTTATCATTATACATAAGCTAGTTGAGATAAACACTTGAAAATTTACCTTGGATCAATCAAGGCGCTACTGCTCCTGAGAAATAATCATAATGCTAATCTTAACTCAAAATGTTTGCAACTAAATCATATCTGACTTGCCTCACGCAGGAGTAGAAGAGTTATTGAAGTGCCGACTACTAGATGAACGGTGATGCACTTTAAAATCCCCAAAAGGTACTTCATGTCGGTTCTTTCCAGATAATTGTACACATTAACTCCAGTGAACTGACGAAGAGTAGAGTTTATTGAATCGTATTTATTTGAATAAACATTGCTGCTAACTGATTGAACCCCCCTTAGCAAATCAGAAAACGTATCCATCCATGGCGCTCAACTTACTCACTTGATTAGCGAAAGGGTTTTGAGTCGTGATTGCGAGTGATTTAGGTTTATTTTGTCGAAATGTTAATCATGAATACTTAGCGAAGCTGTTTGCTGTCCGTAGATGGTTCGGGAGACTATAGCGTTGGTTTAATGAACTTGGTGAATCCCAATGTGTCTAGTGGATGTGTCGTGGTTAATTCCCAGCATGTTAAATGACACAGCTTCTGTAGCTATTTCAGTGGCAGTGATGGTAAATGCTAGGCTTTGTACCCACCTCCAGCCAACCATAGAAAGTTTGATTCATAACAAACTTTTGGGGGGCAGGATTCTGACTACTTACTCGATGCATCGGGCGATTTTCTAGTGTGCAACGTCTTGCTCGAACCTTGATACATTTCTTTATTATATGTATCTATATACTGGATACAAGAAGCAAGCCTGAGGGAAGCAGTTTACAGACATCGCTCTCGGAGCGAAAATCGAAAGCACGCTGCAATGAACGTAGAAGGATAAAACCTGGAAAGCATTCTGTTACACCAGTCAGCAAGCCAAAACCAGAGCACAAACAGAGATCACCTATAGAGTCCAAGTTGCATGTCCAGTGAACCACCGAGCCGATGCATTATAATTTTCGCTAAACGCGATCCTTATTCTTCAGGGATCAGTTTACGTTCGTGAGTTTTTGGATAAAACAATTTTGAGCAACTTTTAGAACACAGAAGTGTTGTTACACTTCTTTTCTATTATTGGTGAATATTATTTTAATGTCTTCCGTCATCACTTTTGAGGTGAATGAGTCATTAGTATAAAAAAATCATCTAAGCATGGCGATTGTGAACAGGTGTCATTTGATTGCCGTTGTGATTAGCACCTAGCAGTCAATCTATTAAACAGACATGAGAAAAAATCGGTGATCCCATCCGCAAAATGATCATCCTCTGAACCCTCTAAGAGGGTTCACTGTTTTGCATTCATGAGAACAATCTACACTCTCGTACACTCGTATCCCCCCCTAAATGTGGGTTGAATAGGAACAGTTACCAGACAGAAAGTTCATGTCACCTATAATAATGCGTGCAAAAACATTTATCTGATCAAGAAATTAGTTCACTGTTTAAATTAGTGATCAACTGAGACTCAAACTAGAAACACACTCAGAACGGTGCCGGCAAATATCCAAAAAGATTAGACAGGAATCTTTCTAAGTAATACGGGAAAAATATTATATAGTATACAGAAAATCCACACTAAGGAGATAGATTTTAATTGTTGGCTTTTCATGTCAAACTGTTTTGTCAAATACGGTGAAAACTGCCGGTTGTTCATTGAATGAAATAATACTACAAGGTAACTGGAAAAGCGTAGTATTAACCCTTGTTGACTCGATAATTTCTGGATGGGTTAATTGATTTGTTCATGTATTATTCATTATTATTGAATGCATGTTTGCAAGATACTCCTTTTAGAAAACTTCGTTTCTGTTAAACACATTGGGGGGAAACATAGGTTGCGGTCTTTTCCAATGCGCTTCATCATTCGCAGTTAGTTACATTGTTCGTGAGTGAACAAGAATTGGGCATATTTTCATCAAGTACAGGATGTCGGAAATCGTATATCAATGAAAACACATTGAAACAGACTGTAATGTGCATTTGGACATTCTTCATGTCGTAAAATGATAAAGGCCCAAGGCACGCGGTTCATAGACAATAATTTAGGTGTTTCATTTAGCAATAAACGTAATCGTCATAAAA